CCAAGAAGAAGAAATAGCCAACGTTGAGTGCTTACCATAGTCATACTGGGTATTCATTTATTCTTCAACAACAACCCTGTGAAGTAGGTAGATACTGTTGTTATTCCCATTGTACACAGGAGGACAATGGGGCACAGAGAGGTTAAGTAACTTGCCTAAGGTCACACAGCCGTAAGCAGCAACATTGCTTCCATCCCATAGTCCACAATAGCCATAGAGATTTTAAGGTGGGGGCTGGAATCTTTTCTCCAGGCCAAAGTGGCACAGTCTAGAGTCCCCTCAGCTCCTCTGGGCATGCTCCGTGTAGGCCATGAGGCTTCCTGGTGTGGCCTACCCTCATACAATACCCATGCTCTGTTCACAAAGCCCAGAGATGCATTGGCACCCCCTACACAGGGGACTTGTATGAACCTTGGGGTGTGTCCTGAACCACAACGAGCCAGGGTTCTCCCCAGAGCTGCTGTTCCCCAGTCTTCCTCCTTCACTGGTCAGAGCTCTAGAGTTTTGTATCCTGTCTACCCGACTGCTCCTGCAGGACCTGCCAAGTAACCATGACCCACCGCTGCTCAGGTTGTGTACTGCACAACTCTATGAGCACTCTCCACAGAGACTGAAATGAATGAGCCCTCTCCCCAGAGCTGTAACAGCATCTGCCCAGCTCACTAGGCAGCAGATCTGTCTTGGGTTCTGGTTGGAGCTTGTTGGGGGTTTTCCCTCCCCTTGAAAGGCATTTTCCAGACACTCAGTGGTTCTGGAATCGTGTCTCCGTGCCTTATTGGCCAGGCCCCTTGAGGTTCACCCTGCTATGGAGCTGGCAGGGTTCCAGGTCGCCCATGCACTGCCCAAGCTGGAACTGGATGGGAACTAGTCCACCTTGAATCTGCCACTTATTGTACAGAGGAATGAAGGAGCCCAGAGCTCACCACCCCTCGTGCCAGGTTGGGACTGTAATCCAGACCTCTTGACTCCAGGACTGAGGTCCTCTCCTCTCTCTCCCAGGCTCCTCTCTCTGCTGTTGTTTCATCCTGTTCCTAAGTACCATGAGGGCATCTAGAGGGCAAGCAGATCTCCTCAGGTTTCCTAACAGGCTGGCTAATTGCTGGGTTTTGGCCCTCTTTGCAGCTCCTGGTAGACCAAGTACAGAGAGGCCACAAACAGCAGGAGCCTGGCATCTGGGTTGTGGATTTAGCCATGACTCATTAGCAAGCACAGAGCTGGGACTAGAGACTTCAGTGCCTCCCAGAGGAGGGGTAAGGCAGGGCAGTGCCACACCAGGGCAAGCAGGGCTTGTTCCGATTAGGGCTTCTCTCACCCTGGAGGTAGGTATGTGGCTGTAGTCCACTCTTTTGTTCATCAGACAACAAGCGTTGATTCCGCGCCCAGCCAGTGTTCACCCCAGGTGTGTGCGCCGAGTACCCACAGTCCTTGCCTGTAGGAGTTTATGGTCAGCTGGGGAAGCAAACATTCGCAACGGGCTGTGGCAGGAACCCATCATAATGCAGTTGCTCACTTTGTGCACTGCCCAGCTCTAAGGGCAACTTCACATACACCGTGAGATGAATGAACTGTCCCCTGGAGTCGTGATGTACCACCAACCCAGCAGCCCACAGTGACCTTAACCTCTTCCTGTGGGCACAGCGTAAGACTATGAGGTTGTCAAGGGAGGGCCCAGCCCTTGACAGGAGGTGAGGGAGAGGAGGTGGCTGGTGCCGATCACAAAAGAAGATGCTTAAACTGGATCTTGAAGGGTGAGACGGTCACATCAGCAACAAGGCCGGTGTTGCCTTCTGCTGGTGTTTGTGCCTCCAGGATGATTTATATGGTCTATTTCTGGAGTGACCCTCACAGCCAAGAAGGCATTGGGAGCAAATGCCACATCTCTTTGCCTTCACAGGGCTCTGTCAGACGCTGGGTGGCCACACCCCCCCCAGCGAGTACCTGCTCATAGCAGGCCAGTGAGGAGGGGGGGCTTCCACGGCCCCTGAGTGCACAGGCGTCCCCAAGAAGGAGCTAGGCCAGACCAGTGATTGCCACTTACTAAGGTGATAATTTGCTGTTGTCCCAAGCAATTATAGATTTCATTTGTCCAGGCAGTACTTGCAAATTGGATGTGGGACAGGCAGGGGCAGAGATGTCATTTGAAAACCAAAGAGCTGGAGGGAAGTGGAAGAGTGTGTGCTGTTGGTTGAGCAGAATGTCAGAGGGGAAGAGAGTAAATGGCACCTTGTTTACAATGCTTGCACAAGCCTTTCCTTTCAAGTCAGGTTCACTGAGGTATAATTTATGTGCAGTAAAATTCACCCTTTAGGGTACAGTTTTTTCAGTTTTGACAAACATGTGATCCTGTAACACTACCACCCCCGAGTTCCCGGGTACCCCTCTAAAGTCAACCCCAGTCCAACCTCTGACAACCACAAATCTGCTCTCTGACCTTACAGTTTTGCTTCTTCCAGATGTCACGTAAATGGAGTCATATAGTATTGCAGCCTTTTAAGTCTGGCTTGAACTTAGCAAAATGCCTTTGAGATTCATCCACATTTAACACGAATCGGTAATTCGTTCTTTTTACGGCCGAGGGCCCCATTGGATATGCCGCCGGTCATCCCGTTCTCTAGCTGAAGGGAGGACACTGGGACTGTTTCCAGTTTGGGGTGATCACAGAAAGAGGCTGCAAACCTTTGCATGCAGGTCTTTACGTGTGCAGAGGTTTCCATTCTGAGCCAGTACCCAGGAGTGGGATTGCTGGTTTGTGTGATCGGTGTGTGTTTAACTTTCTAAGAAACTGCCAAACTGTTTTCCAAATGGCGGTATCATTTTGCATTCCACCAGTTCCAGTTGCTTTCATTCCTTGTGAAAAAATTGAAGAATAGAGTAAAAGGGTGTTGCAGAGGTTGTGTTGATAAAGCTTCAGTGTCCGGGGGCTACGGACAGGAGAAGAGGACCGGGAGGAGAGATCCGTGGACACTCCAGCTGGCCCCCCAGCCCCCTGCAGTGCTGCATCCCCTTCAGATTCCTTTCCCATTTTAATCGTTGTAGAAGTGATATTCGGGCCCTTGCCGGGGCTGCTCGCCGGGCCTCTTTCTGCACGGCTCCCGTGGTGGATGGGTTTTACGCACTGGGCACGGAGCCCGTGCCGGGCCTCACGCTCGAGAGCAGCGATGCCAGATAAGTGACCACGTTTCCTGCATGCTGCTGCTCGCACACCATCTCTCCCTGCAGCTGCACCCGGACTGTTCTGGGGGCCATTCTGCCTGATGGGGACAGAGACAGGCATTGAGGGGTGGAGACACACACACACACACACACACCCCCCTCC